AAAAATCAGCTCACCGGTTCTGAAAAGGTAGGTCTAGAATTCTTTTCTTTTTCCCCTTTTTTTGTTGTCCAAGGGAGGGGTCAGGACCCATGACCCCCTCCCCCAGATCCGCCAATGTGAATTGCGAGAAAATTTAACTCGGTCGGGTACCGGATAAACATTCTATTTCCCATCTTTCTCCTCCTTCCCTCCTTTTTTTTTTTGCATTTCCGATTATACAAAAATCTCCAGACATTATATATTTTTTTGCCAAAAAGTGGGGGGGGGGGGTGGTTTTCATAAATTTGTAATCAATGTTGTTTAAGATGTAAATCATCGAAAAACTACTGTTTTTTAAAATCTGTAACAATTTTGTGGGTTTTTTTTGGTTTTTTTTTTGGCAGACAATTTTTTATATAATGAATCACAAATTTATTATCATGATCATGATTCTCGATTTGTTGATCGACTACTTTCAAAGATAGACTAGGAAAAAAATCAAAAAAAGAGGCCTAGAAATCAAGTTAGGGGGAGTGGAATGTTAGAAGCAGTCAACATAGCCAGATATCCTAATTAATCCGTCGTGGTAACCCTAAGCCCTGTTGACACTTGATTTTTCACCTGGTATACAAATGGCTGCCATTTTTCAAAATGGCCGCCAAATTTATCTAAAATGTGCATATAATTGGAACTAAATAAGCTACAGATATGATGTTGGTGTCTAAAATCATAATTTATATACAGGCAACAAACCAGACATTTAAAAACTACTGTCACTCATGCCAGAATTGAACATAATTCAAATGTAGGTGTTTATTTGTTTTAAAATATCCGCAAAATATATGTGTATAAAATAAGAATAAGTATATAAACTCACCAAAAGGTCGTGTTTGGTATCGTTGGAAAGCTCTTCCGATGCTGAATAATGTATTGCAGTTTATAATCAGAAACGGTGTAGTGTTTCACGTACTGTCCCATAAATTCCAATTATGGCATATCATATTAAAATAAACAGGACACATTTGCGTAACTCGTGAGCTCTCGGATGGC